GACTTCAGGGGCAATCGGAGTGATGTGTGACGCACAGAAGTGGGTTGCGAGGAGGATGCAGGATGTTATAGCCTCCAAGAGATCTTGTTAGTGCTTGGAGAGCAAACATGTAGAGTAGATTGCCTACATTTTTGGCACAATAGGTAGAGGGAGAAGTAGATGGACACAGCGCTCATTTGTGACCATCTAAAGTTTGACTATATGTCCTTGTGAGGCCATGCCAGGTGCAAACAAAACCAGTATGTTCTTTCTGATTCTGCATTTGAGAGCTTCTCCTTTTTATTTTTTGCCTGAGCCTGCTTAGCTGAGTCATGCTATTATTCAGTTTGGGACTCTTTCTGTACTTTGATACACAGGAAGGTCATGTGGATTATTCCAGTGGTAACTGGTAGTCAGATGTGTTGCCACAGCCAACCACCTAAGTAATAGCAGAAGTCTGAAATAATGCAAAGAAAAATGTAGCCCCAACAAATAGCAATGTAGATATGTCCTGGTAGCATGTATGTTAAAACTGCATTAACTCTGATGGTGATATCCACAGGAAAGGCTGTATTTTATAATCATTAAACTCCTCCTCCTGTCCAGAAATAACAGCACACCTTGAAAATAGTTTTATTAAATTTTATTTCTAAACCTAAGGAAACTTACATTTGTTGGCACCACCGAGGTCAAGGACAGTGCAGAGATTGCAGTGTTCAAGAGGTAGCACAGAAGTGGTTTATATTTCAGGGAGGGGTGCTGGCATTAGTGAAGGTAATCCATGACCCAACCTGTTGTCGTTTAACTTCAGCCGGCAACTAACCACCAAATAGCTGCTCGCTCACTCTCCCACAGTGGGATGGGGTAATCACAAGGGTAAAAGTGAGAAAACTCACGGGTTGAGATAAAAACAGTTTAATAGGTAAAGTAAAAGCCATGCAAAAAAGCAAAACAAAATATGGAATTCATTCACCACTTCCCATGGGCAGGCAGATGCTCAGCCATCTCCAGGAAAGCAGGGCTCCATCACGCGTAACGGTTACTTGGGAAGACGAACCCATCACTCCGAATGTTGCCCCCTTGTTCTTTCCCAGCTTTATATGCTGAATGTGATGTCATATGGTATGGAATATCCCTCTGGTCAGTTGGGGTCAACTGTCCCGGCTGTGTCCCCTCCCAACTTCTTGTGCACCCCCAGCCTCCTCGCTGGTGGGGTGGGGTGAGGAGCAGAAAAGTCCTTGACTCTGTGTTAGGACTGCGCAGCAATAACTAAAACATCCCTGTATTACCAACTGTTTTCAGCACAAATCCAAAATATAGCCCCGTATTAGCTACTATGATGAAAATTAACTCTATCCCAGCCCAAACTAGCACATTCTCCACCCTGGCAGTGTTTGATTGTCCCCAGTTTTCTTGGGATGTGCAGTCAGAGAAGTTTGCTGTTTCTGTCTGTCCCCATACCATGTGCCGAAGACCATGCACAACCCAGGGATGTGCGAGGTATGTTGGCTTTATTTTAGCTTGTCAGTTTCAAATATAATTGGTTTTCTTACATGTCACCACTTTTTCAGAGAGCTGCTGTACACAGAAAGGATTTTTCTTGGGCCTAGGTGGACAGGTTTTTAGCTCAACATCAAAGAGAGGAGAAATTCAGCCCTGCAACATATAGCTCTCATGTGTTCTCTCCAGGGCAGGCCTCCATTTCTCGTATGACTTCTATATTCTTAAGATAAGAAATATGGTCTGAAAAGTAAAACAATTTGAAGGTGGAGAAGGCCTCTGGAATTTTTAAAAGCTTATCCTGACCGTGAGTCAGCTATTAGCAATAGCTAATGTCTATTGACAACCCATGATTTTCACTCCCACCAATGACATTTTGTCTAAAATTTTCAGATTTCAGGTGTGAAACCAACAGCAGATTTTATAAAAACCAGAATCAGTAATAGGTGACAGAGTAATTATCATACTTATTCTGCCTTTGACAAGTAATTCAGTGACCCTATTTCATCTGGATGAAACCACACTTTAAGGTGCTTCAAGAAATTACCCTTCAATTTTAGCTCAGTGCATATTCAGAAAAGGGCAGCTCTAGCTTCTTGTCAGCACAGGTGATGGCCTCGTCTTGGATCCTGGAAAATGGTTTTGCATTACTAGAATATCAGTCATAGCCAGCTGCAATGCTGTAATTGTAATGTGGCTTAGTGCATTCAAAAAATGAAATGTAACTTTATGGTAAGTGGATAGTCTGGCCAATCAGCAAGCATGGAAACATTTTATGTACCAGTTTGCTCACGTTGATGAAAAGGTTCCAGCAGAGGGGAAATTTGAACTGCCTCTGATACACAAAACATTCCATCTGTTGAGTTTTCATTGTCTTAACTAGAGAAAAAATATACAGAAAATAGGATTTTTGAACCCAAACAACTACTTCCAAAGACCATTGCATGAGCTGATTGCTTGGTAATAAGTGAGAGGCATCACTAAGTGACACAGCGCAGTTCCCAGAGTTGATTTTTTCTTAAACTGTTTCATTCTGCCAGGAATTGCTTTGGAAATTACCACATTTTCCAGGTTTTCCTCACTTACATCAGAGAGCTGAATATACTTGGAGCCTGCTTCATACCACACAGAAGACTAGTTTTTGCTAGTTAGCCTATTTGAGTAAATAGATTTATAGAACAATTGTCTACTTTTCACCTGCAGCACTCTGCAGTTTATACTGATTGAAAAAAAATTGTGTCTTGGAGTAGTGCAGAAATGATTTGATGAACAGAATGAATTTCTATTCATTATCCCACTTCAACAACTAGAAATGTATAATGGTCACTTTTCTTCGCCATCACTGCATGTGTGGTGGAAGCAAACAATGACAGAAGAGCCTCCTCCTCTGCAGCAGTGAACAGCGGGGCTGAAAAGGACTTAGAGATGTGCCTCTATTAAATTACAGAGCAAAGACAATTTGCCCATTTACTGTAAGAGAAGGGATTTGACCCTCATACTAAAGCTTTATTAGTATAAGAAGACCTTATTTTCCCAAGAAAACATGTATTTGTTGGCTTGCTTTTTGGAGCCATTAGCTTGACATTCGGAAAGTCTAGAGATGTAAGGATGATGCCTAGAAAAAATTGAATGCAATTTTAAATGGGTTTGCGCTCACTGCACACAACTCTCATGCACCTGAAGAATGTGTTGTGACTTCATGTAAGTAACTTGTGTGCCATCTGAAGGACCCTTTCCCACAGTTTGTTAGGCTCTGCACTTCATTAGAGAAAGCTTCACCAAAAACTCTTAATCCTGACAGCTTTCCTAGTAGAATCAATCTTTTGAGGATCTGGGTGATGAGTAACAACAAAACCAGCCTTATTATTATTATTTCACTTGATAAATTGCAGTGATCTAGGCTTCACTTACATTTGTCAACAGTGACTTTCCAGTGAAGTCCAAGGTATTTGAAAAATTACCTCTAATGTTTCAGGCTGGGGGGGCAAGTACTTTTGCAAACTATGAGAATATTTCCCTCATGCACCATTAAACCAGCTGGGGAGAAAGGAAAGCAGGACGGGTGTGGGACTACACTTGAGTCTCCAAAGGTAGGGTTGAGTAGCCACATGCCAAATTATGTAAGTTTTATTCCTGTGAGCCATGCTATGTAATGATAAAGTGTTTTTTTACATGATATGGTGAGCCACAAAAGTGGTAAGAGTTTCTTTTCATCAGAGCTGCCCTTTCTTGGCTGCTGTGTCTGGGACTGTCCTAGTTCTCATCTTGTGCCTTAATTGTGTGTGTGCTATGGTGGATCCTGCCCATCTCCTTTCACATCCTCAGTGACGCAGGTGTTGTCTGATGATGCCATTCCAGCATAGGCACTTCTAGAGGGTGAATTTTTCCATGCTGTTTCTAGCACCATCTTTTGATTGTTGCAATTAGAAGATGTGAATGCCACCCCAAAACCCTGGTTAACATGGATGGAGAATGAAGTGAAATGTGACATGTGTGGTCCCTCGTGGCTCTTCAGTGGGCAGATTAGGCAAAGTGTTGTCACTGCTAAATGGTGACTCTTGTTTTCTTTGAATACTGATGTAAACTGGAAGATGTAATGTGGAATTTAAATGGCAGGGTTAGATGGTAAGAGTTCAAATGTTACCTGCACTGATCTCACTGTTAGATCAAAGGCCCCTGCAGCTCACAGAAGTGGGACACTGCGTTAAGCAGGATTTTTTTTTTACCCATTTACAAGGTTTTGTCTCCGTGGCACTTCTGTTAAAAATACAAAGCACAGAGTGAAAACAAAACAAAAACTATCACTGAATTACTGATCAAAATAAACCTCTTTCTGGAAGGTTACTAGACTCAGGTGTGGATAGGGGAGCCAGTGGGATGTTCCCCTGGACTGGACAAGTCCCTCTTAGTCACCCCAGATTTTGCAGTGAGGTGGGATATGTCTTTGCCACTGGTCTCCTCGGCATCTGCTCCACACCTTCTGTGACTGTTTAAATTGTCCCCTGGATTTTGGCTCTCAGCTGTGTTGTCTTTCAAATTGTCTTTCAAATTATAAGCTTCCCACATCAGGATGATGTTGTCTTTTGTCTTGCTATAATGCCACCTCAAAGGCAGGGCAGGCATTCCTCAGATTTGTGGCTGATCCAAGTAGGGCATGAGGTAAAAAAGTTAATGCATGTATTTCATAGCTTATTTCTGAGAATGACAGAAGGGGTTCAGCAAGTTTGGAGATCTTTGCCAGTGACAGAGTATGCTGCACCCTGTTGTATTTAGTCTAGGTGATCTACCAGCACAAAAATTGGCTTCACTTTCCAACTCCTAATGGAAGAAAATCACTGTTCTCCATCTGCACCCAGACACATAAAATTACTGAGATAAGGTCAACAAGGCACACAAAGAGAGCTTTTGACTATGGGGATGGAAGACAAACTGGTCAAAAAAAAAAAACAACCCAAAAATAATGGTCTGAGGGTAGGAAACCATGTGCTGAGTTACAGGAAAATCTTTGTTTCTAACTCTAGGTCCTTCTTCAGTTATCAGCAATGATGATGATTCAGCCAGTCCCCTCCACCACATCTCAAATGGCAGTAACACTCCGTCTTCTTCTGAGGGCGGTCCTGATGCAGTCATCATTGGGATGACGAAGATTCCTGTCATTGAAAATCCTCAGTATTTTGGAATTACCAACAGTCAGCTCAAGCCAGACACCTGTAAGTACAAAAAACTGTATGTGTTTCAGTCATTCATTTTACCTGTGCAAGTGCTGGGGCTCCTTAACAGAGCTAGCAGAACAAAATGCTCTAAATTCCTGGGAGTGGAGGGGTGGGATTAAAATGTATGCAATTTGTTAAAGGTACATGGGATGAACCGCTTTACGTCTGTCAAAGCCAAATTCAGCCTTTGTGATAAGTCAAGGAAGTCAGCAGTGTTATGCTCAAAGCCCAATCCATATTCCATCAAAGTCACCAGTAGCCTTTCCATTGATTTCAGTGGTCTTTGGCCGGTCCTGTGCACTGAATGTATTCTTGGGAGAAAACAAATCCGAGGTCAGAAGCAGAAGTCAGTATTGTTACATACATGCTGCTTTAAAATTGATCGTATTGGTGATGAACATAACCTAACTTTGAAATCTGAGTATTAGAAGAATGATAAGAGTTAAAACTTCAATTATTTTAATTTCATTGTGTAGTTCAACCTCTACAGCCAGAAAAGATGTTGAATATTTAAAAGTAGAGCAGAAGGTTGCATGATGGACAATAAATGTCACATACAAATCCTTTCATGTTTGGTTAGAGGCAGGTGAAATGTGAAAAAATATGAAGAGTTAAACATAATTAACTATGAATAGTTAAAAAAGAGTATTGCTAACTTCAGCTGCTACCCTTCAAACCTAGTAAGAGTTTTCGAATTAGACATGCGAAATGTTGATTTATGAACTAGTGATTAGCATTGCAGCAGATAACTGAAAAAGTACCTAAAGAATATTGTGATTAATAGTAACCGCATTGCTTACTATTTTTCATCAGTACATTAAGGTATTTAAGTGTTTCAGAGAAAGTTGTTCCTGCCTGTTTTTTTCCTCTTTTTTTGTATGCTGTATGTGAATGTGCATACATTTCTGAAGTGTCACTGGAAGTCTGAACTGTTTCTCTGCAAAGTCACTCCAGAGATTCTCAGTATACCTGGTGAGCATTGGGCTTGCAACTAAGGGATGCTACATCCTATCTGTATCCTCCCTGAATGATACCATTGCATAGCACAAGCTGTAGTCTAGGGGTTTACTGCCAAGGTCAGAAACCTTTGCCTCCAGCTTTGCAAAGCTTAAATGACGTAATAGGCTCTTTCTTGACCTGTGCATGAGGGCATGCATGATAAGGCTGCGAAGACTGATGCTGGACTAACTATCTTGTGAACATTAATGCTCATCTATATCTAGATTGTTGCACTAAGCACAATCCACAGAAGGATGTTCCTGCAATGCAACAGAAGGTCTTTTTCTACCTTTTTATTGTACATCCCTGATGTTTGCTGTTACCATAGCTTTTTTGTGTGGCACTATTTTGTGATTAGAAATGCCCCATTATCTCTTCTACCAGAGGGTATTTGAATAATCTGGCCTAGCGTATGCAGTGGGATGCGTAAGGTAATCACTGAATTGCTGATACTTGATCAACACAAGGAAGATGTTACAGAGATGCATTCTGATTAGAACATTTTTTCCTGTGAAGAAATGGGCAACATGCCCACTAGCACTTTTTAATATTATATAAAAGGCCATGCTTTTAAATATGAGGCTACTGTATCTCTGTTCCCAGCTGCATTAGACAATGTTATAATTGTTTAAACAAACATCAGTGACTACAGAGTATTTAACTTTCAGCATTAACGTTGAAACAACATACATGCTGTTCTGGGGAAAAACTCAAACTCTACCAAAACACAGAATTCTCTCACATTTAGTAAGCTGCACATTAAGTACAGCCGCATTAAACCACGGTTGACTAGTGCTAAGTAGATCCTGATCCTACAAATACATAAGTCTGTGTTTGATTTTGTGTGCTGCAATGAAACCCACATGGTGTCAGGGAAATTAATCACAGTACATGAAGTTCAGTTTGTGCATAAATGCTTGCGGGATGTGGCTCAAGACTTTGCTATGGTGCTCTGGGGAGTTTTGTGGGGCTGATGCTCTGCATTCTGCCACATTGCCATGGTGGTCCCAGTCTTTGTGTTTTTATTGCTTAGCAAAGAGAACCAGGTAAACTATGGCAGTGTATAAACCAAGGCAGATTTCTCTTACCACACTGAACTGTCTAATAAAGGGCATAATTAAAGTTGTCTCAGACAAAAATGATCTTCCCATAAATAATTTCACATATGCTCTCTTTCTGACTCTCTCACTCACTCATTATTACAGAGCTGCACTTGCCCTTTCTTAACCTGCCAACTTCCTCCTGATGTGGTATTTTTAAACCTCTAAGCTAAGTAGCTCTCATGCCTTTTTCCTGTTTACAATAATGCCAGCTCCAGATGTCATCTGGTTTCTCATCTCCAGCAAGATAATTAACATTTATGTTTATCTCCTAGCGGGTCTAAGTTCCATTGTCCGCTAGCATTAAACACAGAATCACTGGTGGTCACGCTGGAAAAGATTCTTATGTATTTAGCATAAGCTGGTCTGTGGAAGGGAGTGAGACTTCAAGCTAGGTGAAAATGTGCTCAGGTCGTATTGCAGTTTTACAGAAGTTGAAGGAATAAGTGTGCTGTGAGTAGCAAGTGGAGGATTTCTTTGTCGTCTACTTAAGCCATGTTTTGACTGGTCTACAGATAACCATTTCTGCATACAGTATATCAAGCTCCATTGCAAAGTATTGAAAGTATATGTGTTCAAAAGAAAATTAAAACATTGATTATGATCAATTTAGTTTGAAATTCTGTTACTCTATCAGTAAATTGG